ATGGCGCGAAACAGAAGGATCATTATAAACTTTTGCAGCCAAGGTAGTCTTACCTTGTCCTGCCATACCCACAATGGGAACAATCTGTAGGTTCTTTGATCCTCTGGTGAGGCGATTCTTAACTGTGGTTGCCTCCTCAAGGTAGCCCACGACCTCATTTTTCAACTGGGGAGATTGCTGAGATGGTTGCACATGAGATTGCTGAATAGTCAAGGTTACCGCCTCCAGTTTGGTTTCTAATTTCTGGACTTGGATTTCCATTTGAACACTCTTGATGTCTTTCACGATGGAATCAAAGGATGAAAGAAAAGTATCCGAAAGATCATCAACAACTAGGTAGTCAAGGAGACCCTCTATCCTGTACACCAGCTCCAAAATCCGATCCCATAAGGCTTGGAGTTGCTCCTTTTGACGGCGCAACTCCACAATGGCTCCCAAGAAAGATCTTAACGAGACAAGCTCTTCCTGAATAGTTTGGGCATGACTCCTTACTTTTGTTTCGGCTTCACAATTGGTGAGATCCGTCAATTTTTCCAATAAAAAATCAGCAAAAGACAATGGAGCGGTGGTTGGAATGTTGAATCGTGGTTCTGCAGGTGCACCAGTCTCCCCAAGCTGCTCTGCCAGGATTAGCCTGATTGCTTTTAACAAATCCTGAAGCGTGTGGTCTAGTTGTAAATCCGTCTGGTACCGTGAGAAAATGAAGACGCCAGCATCATATATCACGTCAAGAAGTTGATCTTTCATCTTCAGATCAAAGGTGTTTGGGTGCTGGGCGAGAAGGAATAACAAGGATCCGAGCCCTTCATAAAGCTGAAGGAATTGATCCTTCATCGGGTCTTGAGTATCAATTTGTAGTATCTGCCAGAGAATAGAGATGAGAGAATCAAGGAATTCCTTTGCCTGATTGTCTCTTTTGTCCATATCTGGAACAGCAGCAGCGGGATCATCAACTAATCTTCTTCTCCCTGACTTTGAGCTAAGCAGGAGCTCTGTGTAAGTATGATGGACCCGAGGATCGGAAGGCATGATATCTTCTGTCAACGCTGATATCTCGGGAAGCATTTCTTTAGCAACACTTACATCGCCCATTCCAGAATACAAGCTGAAGATGATATATGCAGCACAGATAGAAATAGATTCAGTATGAGCCAACATATCTTGCTTGGCTTTGGAATGAGCCGACTCCGAGGCAAAGGCGTTGAGATTTCTCAAGAAGTTCATCTGCTCTCCCAAGGCTTTCATTGGTTCTTTTATAATTCCACTACAATCACTGGCCCATTCAAAAGTGTGGAACAGCTGCAGATTCTTCAGTACAGAATCCAAGAGGTCATCGATTTCATCTGGTGCAAGCAGCTGAGAGCTTGCTGCTGATGGGCTCAAGGTATCCAACACAGTGATATAGAATTGATCTATTTGTTCGTCAAAACACATAATCTGTTCCATGACTGTTTCCCATTCTTTCACATATGTAGCGGCAAGTTCCTCGCTACTCACCTGACCGACTGCGTGAAGACGCAAAGCATGAATCATGTCCGCAGCTTTACAAACATCACCCTCAATCATGTGCAACAACGATTCGAGACCTGGATCGTTTCCCAACTTTCTGGATGATAGAAGAAATATTTTAATATTCCTCAGACAAGTTGATGCGAGTTCATAATCCGCAGCTGAAACCCCCTCCACTACGTCAATCACGAACAGCAGATCATCTAGAGCAGTGTCAATGCAAGTAACGAGGGTGCTGGAGGCCATACTGCTGCTATTTCAGGAGGATTCTTTTCAGGGATTTATTAGAAAAATTGGAGGGAAAAGCAACAGAGGAGACCCGGTTGATTGCAAAAGGAAATGAAAGGAAGGTAAAAGAAAGCAAAGACTTCAAACAAGTTGATGAGGAACCGAAACGGTCATTTTAGAAAAGATGTGTTTATTGAAATAAAGAAGATAAAGGGTGCGAGTAAATATGATGATCACAGGGGGAAGAAACTACAAAGAGTTGATAAAGAAGAACAAGAAGATGATGATTGATGAGCAAGAGGAAAACTGATGGAATTTGGATGAACCAATTGAACCAAATTACACACTTATTTATATGAGATTCAATGCCCTATTCGTTTCATGTTTGCACGCGCATACCTTTTTCCATCCCAGAAATGATATATGACCAGTGTAAAATAATAGGCCAGTGACCGAGCCCAGCCCAGGTTCGAAAAGCAGTTCAACCGACTTCTTGGAAGGACGGTTCATTAATTACTTTCCTACTCCAGGTAACCCTAACAATATAAATAAGATCAACCCCTCTTATTACAATTACTGTTACTGACTAAACTATCGGGATGTTTACTCTCGGAAGACCTTGAGATTCTGTCTTACAGGTTTTAGGGTTTCGATATTACCATGAGTGTCTGAGCTATTAATCGAAGACATCAGAACGATTTTCACCTTCGTCAATACAATTTAGTCTAAATTTTTATTTTTAATTCGATTTGTATTATGACGCGTAAAATTACAAGAGCAGATAATTATCTCAAGACGGATCCGGGGACCATACCAACTAAACAGGTTACATTGCATGTGTAACTTGAAAAATGAGAAATGAAACAAAGTCAACGCCGGGAGGAATTAATTACAGCTGCATCACGTGCAAGGGAGAAAAAAATTCAAAAACAACGCTCGCAGATTCATGAAATTGTTTTCTTTGTAGTATTGATTTTGGGGTTTTCTTACTGTATTTAAATCTCTCAAGTCTCACCCTGAACTTTTTGTCTTTTCCCCCTCCCATCGAATTCTGAATTTCATTTTACAGTATTTATTTGGGAGAAGACAAACCTTATTTATTTTTATTCTTTTAAAAAAAGACAAAGCTTTATTGATTTTTTTTTTTTGGTGTTCCAGTCAAATAATTGTGGCAGCAAGTAGGCATTAGCAGGCCTCTTCAGAAAATGAAGAGCCATTTGATGCATGGAACCGGGTGTAGGGAATTAGGAAGGTGATGATGATGATGATTATCAGAAGCGAATAACTGTTGACGAAAAATATATGATATACTTGAACCGTCCTACTAATTGTCAATTAGTTTTGAGATCCAAGCCTATGTGACTTTGACATCTAACAATCGCACAACTCGTGTGACTAAACAAAATTTCTTTTGCTGTTGCGTGCAAGGAAGATGAAATGATGTGCATCAAATTTGATATATATTCAGCCTTCATTACTTATTCTTCTGGACAATTTTTAACTGATCAGCAAGCCGGCCACTTAGTGCACATTGGCAAATGTTGTTGTCTTGATTCAATTATTAATGCATTAACTAATTGGTCTTAGTTCAATTATTGGTTCTCATTCATCGGTCAATTCATTGATTAATCGAAGCCATTACTGCACATTTTTGCTGACTTTATGAATTAATTAGCTAGGTTGGTTGATCAAAACACAAACAAACATATCAAAGTTTTATAGAAGAAAAGGTCCCTACGTTTGATACAGACTGCTTCATTTGGAGTTTTGTTCGTGTAGTGCTGCAGCAGGTGAAGGAATTCGTTTTCACATTGCGCATTGGACTTTGGAGAGGTCTCTTGAATACATTTTTAAAGCTAATTTAGTCACTTGTGTTTGACCTATTTTAAAGCTAAGTCACTTATAACTTCTTTTAGTCTTGTGAACCGATTAAGATTAGTAGGCACAAGATACTTTTGACTGACATAATTTAGAGTATAATACGATGCAATGTAATAATTCAGGTATCTCTACTATATAAAACTTACAAGTACGTATTTCCAAAATAAAAAATAAAAAATTCACCAAAACCATACCTAGAGAATAACTTCCAGAGTAGCAACCAAAACTTAGTTGATGTAGGGGCATTTAGCATACACTTTTAGCAAGTCCATCCATTACTTGTCTTTACCTCCAGAGAGCTTTATTCTCAAGGATCAACCTCACACAACTTTTATCAACCTGAGTCTGCAAGACTGCAACTACCAACACTGAGTTCTACTATTACAGCCTATATGACTAAAGCTTGATAATGAATTAGAAGCAGTTGCAACATCTGTTAACTTAAATGAGATCAAATACATAACAGGTAACCTTCGATATATAGCCTTTCAGCTCATCATCTGAATACATGAAATCAACTAGTAGCCTTAAAAGTAGCCAAAAACAATACGAAACTCCAAGGATAATACTGAACGAGAGTAAGAATCGTCATCAACGCTCATCCCAAATCCAGCTGAAACGAGTGCAAAACGATCAACCAGATTTGACATTAATGATTTCCAGCTCTGAATTTCCGTTGTCCTCTGGTACATCCTTGATCTTTCCTGATAACTCTGGACCATTGTTAGAACAATATCTGACCTCGATCACTTCAAGCGTCGAATATCCACATCTAGATAAGAGGCATCTCATTCAACTATCCACATCTAAATAATAACTTCTCAAGACAGTCAAGTTGATCATCAGAAGCAATCCATGAGATTAGATCCCAAGATGACAATTGCAAGAATCAAGTTTGGAGAACTTCGCTTCTTCCATATCCCATGTGTACTTCAAGGTTAGTTTAGATTGCAAGAATCAAGTTTGGAGAATCAAGTTTAGTTTACCTTCGAACGTCACATTGTCAAATTTTGAGGACTTCAAGGTTTGGCAATCTAGAAATAGTTGAAAGACTCCAACTAGACAAAGGGAAGCCTGACAGTTTTAATTTCTTAAGACTAGCAGGTAAACTAAACTCACTGTTAGATACACCATCATAGGACAGCGACATGCTTAGTGATTGCAACTGGCTCAAGAAATCGGGAACTGCAATCTTGACATGATTTGTTAGCATGTTTTCAATCTTCAGATTTCAAAAGCGTGCATTTCAACTTACAGATATTTGGAAATTTTTTCAGCAATCCATCCACGTCTCATGGATAATGAATAGCTAGACCAGAAAGCCAATTAATCTCACATAAATCAGATGAGTTGTAAAGATTTCCAATGGATGAAACACCACCTTAACTCATCCTGGGAAGATGCCTTAACTTCTGGAGATTCCAGAAACTGTCAGACAATGAGAGCGTCTGGTCTCCTCTTAATTGATTTAGAATTAATGTTTCCAGATTGAAAAGGTTACCTACTGACGGCGGGATGTCCACCATACAGCCTGCTATTGCTAGTAACCCCAACCGCACTAGTAGTCCTATTTCACTTGGAAATGCACGACCTAAATTGAGAAACAACTTGTAGGAGGCCCTTTCAACAAACAAACAAAGTCGCATTTTGAAGCAAAAATGTTAATGTGAACTGATGATACTAGAGTAGCATTGTAAGAAACCAACAGACTCAAGATGGTTGATTCTGAATTTAGAAACAGTTGGAACAGAAGTTTACTTAAAACAATACAGACATTGAATGATTGATACAGACATTGAATGATGGATACGGAAAGAATAGTAGTGATAACCACAATTGCCAGCATTACTTTTACAATTCCAGCCTATACGAATGCCAAAATATGAATCAGAAATGCCAAGTAATGATCTGTAGCGTTAAATTCCCGCTTTCCTCCTGTACCTCCTTAATTTTTCCCACTAGATCAAGTACAGTGTTGCAACATAATGAGACTTGGATCAATTCGAGCGTTGAAATAGCTTCCAGACAAGAAGGCACCTCTTGTAAATGACCACAGCTCGTCAAGACCAACGCCTTAAGACAGTCAAATTGATCCTCAGATGCAGTCCACGAGCGCAGCTTCCAGGATGCTAAATACAAGCATCTAAGTTTGGAGAATTTCCCTTCTTCCATTTCCCAAGTATCTCCTTCAAAGCTTACAGCAACCAACTTGAGGGCTTCAAGCTTTGGCAGTTTAGAAATGGTTGAAAGGCTCCAACTAGACAAATGAAACTGTGATAGAGTCAATTTCTTCAAACTTTTCTGTAGACAGAACTCAAACCTAATACCTCCAGGCTGTTCGGCATTGTAGAACAATGACAGACCAAGTGAATCTAGTTGGCTCAACGAGTCAGGAACTACAATCTTAACATGATTCTCTTCACCATGAAAATCCAAAAGGTTACATTTCAGCTTACGAACATTTGGAAATATTTTCATTAATCCTTCCATATTGCTCCCGAAGGGAATAGCTACACTAGAAAGCCTATCCAACCCACATAAATAAGATGAACAATCAAGAGTTTCCATGGGGAAAATGCCACCTGGACTTGCCATGTAAAGATGCCTCAATTTTTGTAGATTCCAGAATCTTTCCGGCAATGAGACAGTCTTGTCATCTCTTGTTAGATATAAAATAAAAGTTTCCAAATTAGAGAGGTTACCTATGGATGGTGGGATCGCTCTCATACAGCCACGAATTGCGAGGAATGTCAACTGCACAAGTAGTCCAATTTCACTCGGAAATAGACGACCCAAATTGATATGCCCCAAATCCAAAACCCTTAGAAGATTGCAGGTGTTAAATATGATGGATAAATTTCGTGGTACTCGGTTCAAATTGACGTACCGAGCGCACATATGCCCCAAATTCCCTTGACCAGATAAGATCCTTAAAACTGCAGTTAATGCATACCCTGCGGAGGTTGTGTGGCTCATTAACTGCTAAAAACTTATCATTTCCGCTGAGGAAAGATAAGAACCCTTCATCTTTGGCTTTCTGCAAACAAAATTCATGAAGCAAATCATGAATGCGGCATGCTTTCACATCACCGAAGGGATTTCTCCTGGCAACTGTGAGTAAGCTCCTACCAATTATAACAGCCCTTGCGACTAAATGCTAAAATAGGAATTCTTTGAGCATTAGTTACACCGGAATTGAAGCTTTCACTGAATTACACTCATAACAGGTGATTCCAAAAGTTGAAGAAAAACAACAATACAAACACATTCAATGGTCTGATACTGAACCATAATGTCCATAATCACTTTCAGCCGAACAGATGCAGAGAATCAATCAAAGCAGGGAAGTAATGATCTCCAGCTCTGAATTACCATTGTCCTCTTGTATCTCCTTGATATTTTGCACTAATTCTACTGCAGTTTTTGAACAATTTACGACCTCAATCGCCGCAAGCGTTGGAATATTTTCGAGGCACGAAGGCAACTCTTCCAAGGATGCACAGCCCAGCAATGCCAGCTTCTCAAGACACTCAAATTGATCCTCAGTAGCATTCCAGGAGAGCAGACCCGCTGATGACAATTGCAAGAATCTGAGCTTGGAGAATTCCCCTTCTTCCATTTCCCACGTGTTTCCTTCAAAGCTTACGGCAATAAACTTGAGGACTTCAAGGTTCGGAAGTTTAGAAATTGTTGATAGACTGCTACGACACAAGTAGATGAATGCCAATGATAACTTCTTCAATTTCGCAGAGAAACTAAACTCAAACTTTGTGTGTTCAGGTTTTTCACCTGAGAAAGGAAGTGATATACAAAGTGACACTAGTTGGCTCAAAGATTCTGGAACCACAACCTCAACATAATCTCCTGTTTCTTCAGGAGAAACCAAAAGGGTGAATTTCAACTTACGGACATTTGGAAACTTTTTCAGTAAGCCTTCCATGTCGCTCGGGCAAGGAATAGCAACACCAGAAAGCTTATCCAATTCACATAAATCAGGTGATGTGGCAGGATTTTCCATGGGAAAACTACCACCTGGACTCGATATAGAAAGATGCCTTAATTTCTTTAGATTCCAGAAAGTGCCTGGAAGTGATAGCGCCTTGTCTTGTCTTAATTGATTCACAATAAGAGTTTCAAGATTGGCGAGGTTACCTATCGATGGTGGGATGTCCGTCATATAGCCTTCAATGGCCAGGAAGGCTAGCTGCACAAGCATTCCTATTTCACTTGGAAACACATCACCCAAATTGATTTCCCCCAAATCCAAAACTCTCAGGAGTTTGGCCATGTAAAACATGTACGATAAATCTTGTGGCTCTCGGACATGATAGATGGACAGCACAGAACGTAGTTGGCAAAAGAAATTGTTTGACCTCGGGAGATGCTTTGGATTGAAGTTAATGCACAACCTCCTAGGATTTCCCGGCGCATGAAGTGCCGAAACCTTTTTGTTTCCTCCTAGAAAAGAGCAAAAGTGTTCATGTTCTGCTCTCTGCAAACAAAATTCATGAAGCAAGTCATGAATGCGACATGCTTTCATCCCGCCCATAGAACTTTGTTTTGTAACCATGAGTAAGCTCCTACCAATTAAATCTTTTAGGTAGTCTTCAGCTACATCTTCGATTCTTTTCATCTCAGATTTTTTCCGAACAAATCCTTCAGCTATCCACAGGCGAATCAACCTCTGGACAGGAACCTCACTGTCTTCTGCAAATGCTGCAAAGTAGAGAAAGCAAGGCCTCAAATGCTCCGGTAAGGAGCTGTAGCTCAGCTCCAACGTGTGTCGGCACTGTTCTGAACTCGAGACCATGCCTGATCTTAAACCACCTAGAATCGTCTCCCAACCATCTCGCGCTGTATTTGCTAAAATTCCACCTACAATAAGAATTGTTAAAGGTAGCCCCTTACAGATTTGGACAATTTCCGTCCCTATATCAATTAATTCATAGGGCCAACAATTTCCAGGGAATAACTTCCTTTGTAATAACTCCATGCTCTCTTCTTCAGTGAATGGTCTAAGAATGTGAGGTTCTTCGTGGGGAACAACATCATGTCGACGACTTGTCAGCATAATTCTACTTCCCGTCTGATCATCAGGGAATGCTTCTTTCAAATTACTCCATGCTTCGGCTTCCCATACGTCATCTAAAAAGATGAGATATCTCCTTCCTTTTAAATGGCGCCACACTTTCTCCGCTAAATCATACTCCGAAATGAATACACAAGATTCATCGGGATCAATTTGGCTTAGAAGGCCGAGGAGGATTGTCTTTTTTTCCACTACCTGTGACACGGTAGAACATGCACAAACAGAAAAGTGTCGCGAAACAGAAGGATCATTGTAAATCCTTGCAGCCAACGTAGTCTTACCTTGTCCTGGCATTCCCACAATGGGAACAACTTGCAGGTTCTTCGATCCTCTCATGAGGCGATTCTTAACTGATTTTGCCTCCTCAAGGTAGCCGACGAACTCATTTTTCAGTTGGGGAGAGTGCTGCTGAGATGGCGGCACATGAGATTGTTGACTCAATGTTACTCCCTCCATTTGGGTTTCTAATTTCTGGAGTTGGATTTCCATCTTAACATTCTCGATGTCTTTCATGATGGAATCAAAGGATGAAAGGAAAGAGTCTGAAAGGTCACCAACTAGTAGGCAGTCGAGGAGATGCTCTATCCTGCACACCAGCTCCAAAACATGCTCCCATAAAGCTTGGAGTTGCTCCTTTTGACGGCGCAACTCCACAATGCCTCCTAAGAAAGATCTCAAGGAGACAAGCTCGGTCTTAATAGTTTGGGCGTGATTCTTTACTTCAGTTTCAGCTTCACCACTGGTGAGATCCGTCAGCTTTTCCAATAAAAAATCAACAAAAGACAACGGAGCAGTGGTTGGGATGTCGTTTAACAGTGGTTGTTCTGGTGCACCTTTCTCATCCCCGAGCTGCTGATCTGCCAGGGTTATAAGCCTGATTGCTTTCAACAAATCCTGAATTCCCTGTTGTGTCAGTACCTGCGGGTGTTTCTGGTACAGTGAGCAAATGAAGACTCCGGCATCGTAGATCACATCAAAAATGGCATCCTTCATCTTCAGATCAAAGTTGTTTGGCGGCTGAGCGAGAATGAATAACAAGGATCCAAGTCCTTCATAAAGCTCCCGAAATTGATCCTCCATCGAACTCAATTCACGAGTATCAATGTATGGCATCACCGAAAGATGAGAGAGGAGAGAATCAAGGAATTCCTTTGCCGGATCGTCTCCAACAGCGGCAGGATCAGCAAGAGGTAAACTTCTTCTGCCTGACTTTGAGCTAAGCAGGAGCTCAGTGTAAGTATGATTGACCGAAGGATGGATAGGCACGATATCTTGAACCAGCATCCAGATCTTGGGAAACATTTCTTTGCAAATAGTTTCAGTGCCCATCTCAGAATAACACTTGAAAATGACGTATGCCGCACGGATACAAACCGATTCGGCTTGAGCAAACATATCTTGTTTGGCTTTGGAATGAGCTGACACTGAGGCAAAGGCGCTGAGATTTCGCAAGAATTTCATCTGCTCTCCCAAGGCTTTCATTGGTTCTCTCAGCATCTCACAGCTACTTACCCACTCAAAAGTGTGGAACAGCTGCAGATTCTTCAGTACAGAGTCAAACAGATCATCCATCTCATCTGCTACAACAGAGTTTGCTGGAGATTGACTCAGGGTATCCAACAGAGTGATGTAGAATTGATCAATGGGTTCTTCGAATGATGTAATCTGTTCTAAGACTTGTTCCCATTCTTCCGCAGAAGCAGCAGCCGGAAGTTCATCGCCGTTCGCCTGACCCTCCATCAGAACACGTACAGCGTGAATCATGTCTGAAAGTTTACGAACATCAACTTCCATCGTCTGCAACGAGGATTGGAGCTTTGGATCATCGTTGACCAACTTCCTGAATGATAGATGAAATATTTTAATGTTCCGCAGAGTAGTTGACATTTGTTCATATTCTGAACCAAAAACTCCCTCCCCTGCGTCAATCACGAACTGTAGATCATCTAGAGCAGTATCAATGCGAGTAATGAGGGTGGAGGCCATATTAATCGCTGCTATCTCAGGAGGATTTTTTTTTTTTTCTTAAAGAAAGATTGGAGCAGAAAGCAACAGAAAGAGACCCTTTTGATTGCAAAAGAAGGAAAACAAGTCTTTAAACAAGTTGGTGAGGAAGCTAAACGGAAAAGCCTTCTTCAAAAAAAAAAAAAAAACAGGAAAACAAACTACATTAAGTGTTGATGAAGAAGAAGAAGATGATTATGAGCAAAGAGGAAAACTGATGGGATTGGATGAACCAATTAGAACAAACTATACACATATTTATATGAGAAGATTCAATGCCCATTTTGATTTCATCGTTTCACTTGCGCTTCCTCCATTATTCTCTATTTTAAAATAAATGTCAAATTTAAAATATCCGAATTTTTTTTTAAAGAAAAAATACGTGATACAGCTTGCATTATGAATAAAATTATAAAGTACTACATAATTATGCTGAGGCATCAAGTGAAAGAAAAAAAAAAAAGAGGTTTACAATTGCATGTATTGACCTTGAAAAATGAGAGTGAAAGAAAGACACAGATGGATAGCGGGAGGCGTTCAAAGCTGGATCACGTGCAAGGAAAGAAAAACAATGGCGCAGATTCATGAAGTTGTTCACTTTTGTACTAATATACTATTCATTTTGGAGTTTCTTCTTTTGGTTCCATTCAAATTAAAAATCCTTTATTCCTACTTCGCATTAGCAGGCCATTTCATGAAATTAAGCGAGATGCCAGAAAATGAAGAGCCATTTGATGCATGGAATGAAGTTGTTAAAAAAATGACAATAAATTTATCATAACCATTCATTTTTAACACTTCTCATTTGGGGTTTAAGCATTTAAGGTTATGACATAATTTAGATAATTGACAACTCATTCCTTGTAAGTTTTTCTTGTAAATTTTCCCTATACATATCATTACTCATATATATATATATATATAAAAGTGTGTATATCGTATATACACCAACAGAAGCATTAGCGGACCTTTTTTTAGACAATTCAATTATCCTGCGAGCAGTTTCATATTAAGCTTTTGGGAGAAAGAAGAAATATGGAAGAGTAGATAACCAAAAAGGGGGTGAGAAAAATTAGGAAGATGATGATGATGCTTAAGGGAATCAATGAGGTGTATTAAATTTGATATATTCAGCTAGCCTTCATTATTTTTTATTCTTCTGGACAATTTTCAACTCTGATCCGCAAGCCAGCCGGCCACTCAGTGCACACATTGGCAATTATTGATGTCTCAATTCAATTATATTAATGAATTAACTAATTGGTCTTAGTTCGTTTATTAATCTTATTACCCCTATCATAGACCACAAATTGATTTTCAATATTCATCATTCATCAGCAAGGCTGTTGTCCTTTGGGACCTCTGGGATGCTACACTCAGTAGTATTCATTTAATTAATTAATCGAAGCCATTGCTGCAGATTTTTTTGCTGGCCTTTGTTAATTAGCTAAGGTTGAAACACAAACAAACAAACAAATCAAGTTTTACGTAAGAAAGACCCTACCTTTGATACAGACTACCTCCATTGGTGTTTACTATAATTTGTTGAGCGCTGCAACAGGTGAAGGTTCATTTGTACATGACGTGACGCTCTTGGACTTTGGAGGTTTTCTCGATTACATATTTAAAGCTCAGTCTGTCACTTGTATTTGATCCTCATTTTGTTATGCCAGGATTCTAACGTGTTTACTAACGTAGTACTTATCTTAGTTAATCATATAATTATTGTATTTGGAATAGATGGGTTGTTATTATTATAGATGTTATATCATTTAATTATTACATTTGGCATAGAAGGGTTGTTATTATTATTATATATAGATGTTATATCTTTCTACAGGAAATTTATGTCTTGTTTTGGATTAACAAGAAAATAGTGAGAATCGACTTTACTCAATCATCAAGACTATATATAGTCTCCTCTTATTTTCTAGATTTTCATCTGAATACATTCTATCTTCATTGTGGCGTGTACAACCTTATTTATAGGCTAGGAGTTATCTTGAGGGAGGTAAAATCCTATTTGGATTCGTCTTATTCTGCCGCCTCTCTAGAGTCGGGTTGGACTCTGGGATTAAGTGATGGGCCAGTAAAATGAGCGGTGAATATGGACTCGTCACAGAAAGAGGTGAAGTAAAATATATCAGATTAGATTTTGAAAACTAGTTGGATGATGTTATAGTGTTTATGGTTCATCTGTGGCAGCTTATAAGAGCAATTAAGTTGCATTCTAAGAAACCAAATCTTCATACTAGATTGACACTGATCAAACTTATGATGTTATCGGCATCTAGTCCAATCAGCATATTTCATCACAAAACGTACTTCTGAGAATGTGAAGCCGTGATTACGCAACATTATCAATCCTAAATTCAACTCCAAAATAAAATTATGAACAAAAACGTCCATGCAAGAAAAGGGTTCTGTTATTGCTGCGTCTAGATGCTTGCTAATGGATTCAGAAGCAGTTGAAACATGAATTATCATAAATTGAGATGAAATACATAAATATTAGTTCACACTGGAGATTATAGTTCTGGAAAAGACAATACCTGCCTTTCTTCTAAATGCATTTGGCTAATTGCTCCAAAGTTTAAGGGTAAAAACAACACAGACATTCAATGATCGACAGTGAAAGTGTAGCAGTAATGAACAGCAGCAGTCTCCATCATCACTTGCTCCAAATCCAGCCAAAATAGATACAAAAGGATCAACCACATCTGACATTAATGATTTTCAGCTCTGAATTTCCATTGTCCTCTCGTACTTCCTTAATCATTCCCACTAATTCTAGAACGCAGTTAGAACAGTATCTGACCTCGATCACTTCAAGCGTCGAAATACTTTCTAGACAAGAAGGCATCTCGTACAGATATCCACATCTCAACAGTACCAACTTCTCAAGACAGTCAAGTTGATCATCAGAAGCAATCCACGAGATTAGACCCCATGATGACAATTGCAAGAATCTAAGTTTGGGAAATTTCGCTTCTTCCATATCCCATGTGTGTCCTTCGAAGGTCACATTGTCTAATTTGAGGACTTCAAGGTTTGACAATCTAGAAATAGTTGAAAGACCCCAACTAGATACAGGGAAGCTTGACAGTGTCAATTTCTTCAGATTTGCCGGTAAACTAAACTCACTGCGAGTTACGCCATCATAGGACAGCGATATACTAAGTGATTCTAGCTGGCACAAGAAATCGGGAACTACAATCTTGACATAATTTCTTACCATGTCTTCTGATTTCAAAAGGGTGCATTTCAACTTACGAATGTTTGGAAACTTTTTCAGCAATCCATCCAGGTCACATGGATAATGAATAGCTAGACCAGAAAGCCAATCCATCTCACATAAATCAGATGAGTTGTAAAGATTTCCTATGGGGAAAACACCACCTTGACTCGTCATGTGAAGATGCCTCAACTTCTGGAGATTCCAGAAACTGTCAGGCAATGAGAGCGTCAGGTCTCCTCTTAATTGATTTAGAATCAATGTTTCCAGATTATAAAGGTTACCTATTGATGGCGGGATGTCCACCATACAGCCTCCGATTGCTAGGAACGCCAACTGCACTAATAGTCCTATTTCACTTGGAAATGCACGACCTAAATTGAGTTGCTCCAAATCCAACACTCTTAGAGCTTTGCACATGTGAAACATGAAGGATAAATTTGGTGGCACTCCTCGCACGTAATAGCTGAAATTTAGAGACCGTACATGCGGAAAAAATTCATTGGACCTTATGAGGAGCTTGGGATCAGAGTTGATGCATAACCTTCGAAGGTATTGCAGTGGCGCTTGAAATTCCAAAGCCTTATCAATTTCTCCACTAAAAGAGAAGAATAGTTCATCTTTGGCTTTCTGGCGGCAAAACTCATGAAGCAGGTCATGGACGCGGCATGATTTCACTTCACCAAGGGAGTTTTGTCTGGCCACCGTAAGTAAGCTTCTAGCAAACAAATCTCTGAAGTATTCTTGAGCAACACCTTCAATGCGTTTCATCTCATCTTTCCGAATAAATCCTTCAGCTATCCAAAGACGAAGCAACCTCCTCACTGGCACCTCTTCATCTTCTGGAAATGTTGCCAAAGAGAGAAAGCAGGGCCTTAAATGCTCTGGTAAATGGCTGTAGCTGAGCTCCAATGTGTTCCTGCACTGTTCTGTACTTGACACAGTGCCTGATCCTAAACCACCCAGAATCTTCTTCCAACCATTTGGCTCTATGGCTGCTAGAATGCCTGCTACAATAAGAATCGTTAGAGGTAATCCCTTGCAAATTTGAGCAATCTCAATCCCAAGATTGACTAATTCAGTGGGCCAACCACTTCCAGGAAATAACTTCCTCTGCAACAAATCCATACTCTCCTCTTCAGTGAATGGTCTAAGTTCGTGAGGTTCTTCATTTGGAGCAACATCTCGATGACGACTAGTAAACATAATTCTACTTGCCGTATGATCCTCAGGGAATGCTTCTTTCAAGTTGCCCCATGCTTCAGCTTCCCATATGTCATCTAAAAAGATGAAATATCTCCGCCCCTTTAAACTGCGCCACATTTTTTGTACTAAATCGTTATCCGAAGTAATCCCAGAACATTTGTCTGGATCAATTTGACCTAATAGGTCAAGGAGGACTCTCCTTTTATCCACTATTTGTGACACAACAGTTTGTGCACGAACGGCAAAATAGCATGAAAACGAAGGATCATTGTATACTTTTGCAGCCAAAGTGGTTTTACCTTGTCCTGGCATACCCACAATTGCCACAACCCGCAGGTTTTTCGACCCTCTCATGAGTCGATTCTTGATTATTTCAGCCTCTTTAAGGTAGCCCACAACCTCATTTTCCAATGGAGGTGCTCTTTGAAATGGACCAGATGGCAAGTAATGAAGAGTCGGGGTTGGTTCCTTCATTTTCATTTCTGATTCCTGGACTTCGAATTCCAGCTTAACATTCTTCATGTCCTTGATGATGGAATCAAAGGATATTGAAAAAGAATCTGAAAGATCACCAACCTTTAGGTAGTCGATGACATGCTCTGCCCGATAAACCAGCTCCAAAATCTGATCCCTTAGAGCTTGGAATCCTTCTTGTTCTTCCCTTAACTCCAGAATTTCCGCCAAGAAAGATCTTAAGGTGAGAAGTTCTTCTTTAATAGCATGGGCATGACTCATTGTATTTATTTTAACTTCACAACTTGTTAGCTCATTCAGTTTCTCTAATAAAAAATCAACAAAAGACAAAGGAGCAGTGGTCGGAACCTTGTTGAACTCTCGTTTGGGTGCAGCTTTCTCCTCCGAATCTGCAACAATGAGCCTGATTGCTTCCAACAAATCCTGAAGATCATGATGCAGACGCATATGTCTCTGGTACAAGGAGCAAATTAAGATTCCGGCATCGCATACCACATCAAAGATGTTGTCGTAAATATTGAAATCATAGTTGTTAGGCTGCTGGGAGAGAATGACAGTCATGGAACCAAGTCCTTGGAAAAGCTCTTGGAGTTGATCCTTCATAGAAGAGACCACATCATGGGTATCAAGCTGTAGCATCTCCAAAAGATAAGACCGGAGAGAATCAATGAACCCTTTTGCATAATTTCCTTCTAAGTCCATGTCTCGATCCGCAGGAGCAAGTAATCTTCGCCGTGGCTTTGAGCATCTCAAGATCTCACAGTAAGCTTCACTGACCTGAGAATCGATAGGCTTTATATTTTTCATCAATTCTGAAATGCCTAAGAGGGAGTCTTCGGAAGAACCTTGACAATTGTGAAGGAGAAACGCAACCCTGATAGAAACAGATTCAATATGAGCCCAGAAATGTTCATCAGCTATAGAATCAGCAGGTGCCGATGAGGCAAAAAGTCGGAGGTTATCCAAGAACAGCATCTGCTCTCCCAAAGCCTTCATGGTTTCTTCTAGAGTTTCAACATTAAGATCAGAATCCAAAGTGAGGAACAACAGTAGATTCTTCATCACAGAACCAAACAGATCTGCAACTTCAACGGCTGTGAGCGTGTTTACAAATTGGCTGGAGGGATCCAAGAGGGTACTGTACAATTGACCCATGGGTTCCATCAGAGATCCAAGATCTATATCAAAATCAAAATCATCATCCCCGAGTTGCTCGACAATGGCAAGGCCAGAGTAAACCAGGCGCAAGTTGCGGATCACTTGTTCCACTCCGCAGACATTAACTTCAAGCATATGCAGGAAAGATCCAAAATTTGGATCGTCGCCCAGCTTTTTGGCAGAAATCAAAGTTATTTTACAGTGTCTAAACGAAAATAACAGTAAATCAGATCCCAAATCTAAAGTATGACCCACAAGGTCCGCCACAGCCTGTAAATCATCAAGTAGAGAACCAATGCGGATAACGAGCTCAGAGGCGGAGCCCATCTTCTTCTTCTTCTTCTTCTTCTTCTTCTTCTTCTGCCAAGGTTATCAAGGAGGAAGTGGAGCAGTCTGTATTGCAGAAAAGAGGAAACCAAAAAAAACTAAAAACGAAACTGGTAATTTGGAATCTGATTGAAAAAGGGATACCGCATGTAAGAATGGGGGATGAGGTGCAAACTGTCAAAGGAAAAGAAACAAGATTTTTGAACAGAGAGCTCCCGGAATGGCAACCGAAGAAAAAAATAGTTTCGATGAAGCTTTTCCCTATGTACCGAATAAATAAATATTGTTGTGAGAACCCAATCAACCAATGTAAACACATGATGGGAAAACCTCAAGCCAGTTGCATTTTAAAAATACTATTATTTTCTAGTTTAAGTTTTCATTTCTAATTTAAATTGTACTAAAAATAAAATCTGAAACTGAACAATAATTTTGGGAGCCGGAGTACAAAAGATTGGCGGTATTCACGACCAATTTTCAACTAACCAGGCCAATACTACGTACTTGGTCAGTGCACATTGCTGGAAGCTTATTTTTTTTATTTAGGGGGAAATGAAAAGATGAAAAATTTGGTCAAAAAGAGAGACTTACTCACTTGGGGCAAGTCTTAATTTTAATATTGGGAATTTTTGTCATCCTGCATTCATCAGTCATCATAATAGGTACCAAAATTCTTATTTGTTCATCAGCAAAGGCTGGTGGGAATTCATTTTCCTTCCCAAAATATCAGCATTCCGCCAACTAGCTACTAATGCTACTACTACTCACAGCATTCTAATATACAATGTTGAGAAGGGTTTTGATTATCAACAACAACATTAGCTGCAACAATTCTGTGTATCACAACTTGTAGTCTATCATCCAGATTTCCCATATCTCGTATTTCACGCAGATCATTTCAACAAGATGATTTCATCTCGTTGATGTCTCAAGGCACTCTAATTGTAGCCAAAATTGAACTTTCATCTTCCTTGTTGCTGCCTTTGATGTACCATCTTCTCCGGTCAAGCGCCAACCTAATAATGCCAAGATATTAAAAAGCAATCTTTTTGATTTAGTACTGGACGAATTAAGAAACCAAATGCTCTAGTTAAATATACATGATCCGGTAGTACTGTTTGATAAACATTCAATAATCCCGAGCATCAAAATTATGAATAGGAATTTTCGGTAAACTATCATGTTCCTTAGTCTGTATATAGTGTATATATATATATATATATATATATATATATATATATATACATACATACATACCTTGCAGATGATATACCCGAACTTTGTTTCGCACAGAACATCAAACCGTCATTGATGAATTTTCATCTTTGGGAATTTGAAGAATAAACTGAAGCTTTTTTCTTCATCGGAGCTGTCCCATCTTCGTCCTGGACCAAATCCTATGGCATTAAAGACCAACATTCAGTACTGTTTTCTAACATTCCCCAACATCAACTTTCATGATTGCATAATTACAATCTAGAGGAACAAAGATCAGTAATTCCTACACCAAAGTGTGCAATGCATCTTAGCTCAATCACTCGATGTCATGTTTGGTGTCACCACTCGATTTCAAGATGTTAACTACAAGAAGAAGTGGAGGGGAAATTATCATTTTCACGTACATTTACACCATCATGTACAACTGAAAGATAGGACTTTCCTACTATTGGGCTGATCTCCATAATTGGGCCCAACATGTTTGGAAGCCAAAATTCATGATATTTGGTTTGCTTAACCGAATAATAAAGAAGAAAACCAAGTCCAAACTTGGTTTGGATTGGTGCTGGACGTGAGCTATATAAACCCTTGGTCCTTGGTACTTTTGTATGGGTTTTCAGCCGAGAGAGAAGAGAAAAATAGGACAGCCGTGCATTGTTTTTGTACAAGAGAAAAAGAAAGAAATCTAGGGTTTATTTTTGGTTTAACTCTCTTTTGGTTAGATCCTTCCAATCTTATTTTATGATAGGTGTGTGTGGAAGAG